CATCCTTCCAATGAATTCGCTGACATGTCACCGAACAGTATGCCGTTCGAAGACAGCCCGAGCATCGTTTCCTCATCAAGTGAGCACTGTGTCCGAACTCTCCGAGACAGCGGGCGCACTGGAGGTCGTCAGTATCTGAAAGGGGAAACGTTACGCGTTCACGTACACGAAGATTACCACACGTGGAGAGCATCACGCTCTTGAAAACACTATTTTGTTTATGTTGTGACGCGACGCTGTCTGTGAAGATCTGCCATTTCTGAAGGAACCGGCGATTGGGGTCGATGCGAGCCAAAATTCTGTTCTTTTCGATGCGTGCAATGTCCTTGCGCGCCGCCGTTACCACAGAACGATAAATGAGGTAGTGGATGACACCATCGATGATCTCTTGACACAGCTGCATCAGTGAATCCGCATCGTCTCCTTCGATAGCGCCGAGTCGGGTGAAACATGCTTCTGCTCTGAGCGCTGCTTCCAATACATGCGCCTGAACAGCACGAAAGATTGCTTTATAGCCGAAGATCATCAGGTTGTGGATGGTCGAGAATAGTCGAAGGACGCATTTAATGAGTAGACTCGGGTTCCTGGGCGGTGTACGCCGAGATGTCATTCGACGAGCCAACTGTGTGAGCCAGGACACTACTCCGTTCTCGACTAGCTGGGGAAACACATCCTGATTGTTCGGGCAGATAGATAGTAAGGATAGAACGGACATGGCCTGAGTTAGGTCAAGCACATCCTCCGCCGCTAGCGAGATGACCGACCACAAAACAGCCCTAGAAACCACGCAGGGCGGTTCTGATTGGAACGCCTCAGTTATAGGACCGACACGTCCTGGGGAGGCTTCCCCGGAAATGACCATTGACAAGACATGAGTCAAGTCGCCTGAAAGTGCCCGAGAAGAGCCCATACATACAATCCACAGGCTAGCGAGGATCTGCAGGAACTCGTCGTTATCCGCATTGGGCATCAGATAACGTTTAGCGACGTCCTTCCAGGTGGTCAACGCGTGTATAACACGCTCCAGCGACATAATTACTTCGATATCACGGAGAGCATTCTCGTCGTTTTCGAGGATGCGCGTACGGCGTATGAAATACAGCGACCAGTTCACAATTAATGGCCACAGTGGATCCGTCAGCTCTTCGTAGACACGTTCCATCGGCGGAACAGAAGCCGCCGAGCATTGACGGAATGCGGAGGTTATCATTCCGAAGCATGATAGGGCGTTAAGAATCTTCGGAGACGAAGACCAGTCGCTGGTTTCGAATGGGATCATATTGTGTCGGTTTAGGTGGCGTAGAATGACGGGGAGTGCGTGTTTCGTAATGTGGGCCTCCTTTATCGACACCATTTGCTCAAGCTCGCGCACAGCGAGAACAGAAGCATCACCAAGAGCCGCAGCCTGTATCAATCAATTAACTTGTAGCCGGCATTTTCAAAAACTAAATTATTACCATAACTTGATGTATTCTATCCCTTTTAGACATCGTAGAGCAAGCGGGAAAGAAGTGGGCGTATCGTAGTGGCGGTTGAAGCTGAAGATCTGATATCCCCAAAAAGTACACCCCACGTGTGTGGCACCGGGCCGCACGCACTGCCGTTCCGCTTTTTTGTGGCTGATTTTTCTCTCGTTTCTGGCGTCCATCCCCGATGTGATTTCATCTCTGACTCAGCGTGCATCCAGGCCGTGCAACTGACAGCGATTGGACTTGTCGAGAACAGGAAGTCTGCTTGAAGTCCTGCTGACTTACCTAGACTTGCCGCTGTACTCAGCAAAGCCACACAATCGCTAGTAATATAATGAGTCAGCTGTCCTCTATGGGTCATTCGGGCCAAAGGTACCCTGGACTAAACGATTCGGCGTTGCTTAACAAGTCTATGACGCATACAGTCGAGAACGGGTCTTCACGGTTTCTCTATGTTCCGCTTGTCAGTTTTTAAAGGATGAAGGCACGCCTACTCTCTCATACTCGAGTTTTCACATCCTCGTAACCTCTAGCTTGCTTCGCCCACCACCATGTCGTTCGGACGGCTTCCTATCTATGCTGTCTACGGTCTCTTCGTAAGTCCTACGAATTGAACACCGGAAATGTATTTGATGGAAGTTGTAGTGGATAATCTCTTGCGTTGAACTTGGCCTGACTTCATATCGTGTTCATCTCACCGAACACCAGGGATCAATTGGTGCGCAAGACGTCTTGATAAACGTGCTCACTTTCTTGTACTCACCACTGCTCTGACAGGTCAGTATACTTTGCCGATGATGACACCCACTGTGGACTTATAAGCGATTGCCAGAGCATCCCAATGAGTCTGGATCTTATGGCAAGTCGCTATCGCAAGGCCTTAACCGCCGGTAACTGATATATTGTGTAGAACCGATCATGGTCGAGTTGATTGTTTCCTCGTCTCTGGCTATTTTCTGGATTCCGATTGCGTACGTACCGTTCTTTCTTATCGTTGACCATCGCTTATCCATTTCGTTCAGGTCTCTCATGCTAATGGGGGATCCCGAAGCGACCCACACTCGCTCGAAGCGTATCGTACCCATTGAAATTGCCGGTGCCTGCGTTCTGTGGGTACTGTGGCTCGTTGGTGCCGTATATACAACGGTAAGCATTCCTTGATGCGCGAGCAGGGTTTGCGTATATTGAGTTTACCCTTCCTAGAACAAAATCCTTCCTGGGAAGAACTACTGCGTTGCTGGCGGAAAGGAATGCCACATCCTGACCACGATCCTGGCCTTCTCGTGGATGGGAGGAAGCTTGCTCTCTATCGTCATTGTCATGGGTTTGATGCATCTTGCGACTAGCAAGACGCCCAAAGAGAAGCCTGCCATCCGCGAGAAGGCAGTAGAGGCAGCGGCTCAGGCCGAGGTCTAGGATCCTGCTTCCCTCATGAATGAATCGACTCGGTCATGGCCGTTATTCTTTTAAACGATACTTGATGCCCTCTTCAATCACAACTCATGCTTTGAAGATAGTTTTAATATGTCACCATGTTGTATTTTGTATCAACGTTCTCAATCGTCTCATTTGTTTAAATCTTTGTCTGAACTTGTGACAGCAAGCAGCTTGTTCTCCCGAAATGAATAGCATCTTCATGTTAGTATTCGGGAACTCCCTAAATCCAGATGTCGGCTAACCCCGTGCACTCTTCCATTTCCATTCAAAACGCTCACGATGCCAAATGAGTTTACTTCCCAGGACTAACATCATGGCATCTGGTCGCCCGATTCCGTCGCTCCTCCTCCGTGTGAATCCGCGATGGACACCCATGTCCCCGAATGCTTGAACATATGATCAACTCTTCGCCACGACGTGTATCTACTGCGTACCCTGCCAGTATAACTTTCGTAACGAAGGTGGGAGCTCTCAAATGACTCAAATCACGTTACTCTTTCTCTGTTTCTTCCATGATTCAATAGAGTACAACGGTCATGATACGGGATTCCATGACGCTCTCATCAGCTTCGCGTCCGTCCTGGACTGCTCCAGCAATCAAAGTCTAGGCAAGTTTCCGGGATCGACGGAGTGTTGCTTCAAGAGCAAGTCGTAAAATGTTCTTTGGAGGATGGAGAACTAACACGAGATTTCATAGGTCAGACGCCTTCACTGCCAGTAGCCGTGGAAAGGCGATATATTGCGATTTACGGTCTAGGCTCCGTGGCATACATGGTGCCGCTGGGAGATTGAGAAGGTGAGGCATTCGGCGATAGTCGGAAAGTAAGTGCACCAGCCTCTTGTTGCCGACCGTCATGGTCAATCATGATCAAACCGTGGTGACTTCGGCTGGCTCGCATTCAACACAAATACGGCGGCCTCTTCACCAATGAACTTCTTTTTGACGATGTGTTCGTCATCTCTTTCATCTCCATCGGTCATCTGGCCATCGTTTCGAGTGATGCAGCGGTGTAAAGTGGTCCCATGGCTTTGCTTCTGACTCAACTTTCGAGCCAAGGGCTTCTGTTGCGCCAGAAGGTTACATTCGTCGGTGCCGCAAGGAGGAGGTGAGATTCTGTTGTATTATTAGTACCCTATGGTCGTCGCCTATATAAACCTGACCAGGGACTTGTGAGACGCGGTTGACGACTACAACCTGTCTATTTTTGCCCTCTTTCTCTGTCTTTCTATCATGGCTATTGGTCGCTTCCCCACCTACGCAGTGTACGGCCTTCTTGTAAGAAACCTTCATCGCAGCTATACTTTCCTATACTCACATCGCGTCGCAGTGGGCAGTCGCATGCGTTCTACTCGGACTGACTGCGTACCGAGTACATATCACAGAGCATACTGGCAGATCTTATGGTGGGTTTCTTTGAACATGGCTGTTCTGGAATTGACCACGGTTCTCCTGGTCCAGAACCTATCATCGTCGAACTCCTCGTTTCTTCTATTCTCACTATTCTCTGGGTGCCGATTGTGTATGTATTCGTCGGGCGCTCTCTCGTTGTGGACTCATAGTCGTTCATAGGTTCGTCTTACTCCTTTCTACTCGCATCATCCGTCTGGAAATGGCGGGGGCGTTCGTTCTATGGGTAATGTGGCTCGTTGGCGCGGTGGACACTACAGTCGGTCTCAATGCTGTGGATTGTTGCTCGGCTATTGACCTGCATGGCTCTAATGTAGAACCGAATTCTCCCAGGGAAGAACTACTGCCCATTCAGCGGAAAGGAGTGTGATATCTTGACAACACTTTTGGCATTCTCTTGGATTGGTTGGAGTCTGCTTACCATTGTCCTTGTCATAGGGTTGATGAATCTTGCTGCACCCGCTGACCGGGGACACGTAATGAGAGAGAAGTCAGAAGCATCACAACCGTAATGGATGCCGCCGACGCTTTGCGATCCGTACTCCAAAAAATCATGAATGTACTACTACTGCTACTGTCTTGTTTAATGTGGTTTATGTCTTCTCCGTCTTGTTGTTACGCAAAAAGATAAAAGTCTATCTGTCACTGTGTGTGAATTGCAAAAATTGGCCAACAGTTGATTCAGATGCCCTGTACCCGGATTGAACGAATGACCTTCGCATGACAATGAGTGTACAAGTGCGACGCGCTACCACTACGCCAACAGGGCTGTGTAATAGCAATATGCTGACCCGAAACTTCGGCGAAGAGGACATTCTTAAACGACAATGAATGAATGGGACGCGCAATGTTTCATGGGACAACCGATATCACTTTGAAGAAATGAAATGATTACGGAACTAGCAACGAAACTATGTTTCCTTGATTTCGGTTTTACAAGTGCTTCCTTAATCGTTTACTCATTCATTTACTGAGCTCTGCGTCCGCAGTGAATACCTACACGTGAAATTGTTACGGTTCATACGGTAAGTCTGCCTAGTCATAGAAATTAACATCTATCACCGCGTTCGAATCATAATGTTCGTATTTCAGTTCATCCGGGTAGCAGCCTGTACAACCAACAAGCTCGCCGCGGTCCCATCTGCAACTAATGCAGCCCCGACATCGCCCAGAGTCTTCGAAACACTCGACCCCATCGTGCAAATTTTCTCTGCCACTATACTCGCTAATTCCGCGGTGTGATTGAGAGGGGACATTCTCCTTGAACGCCCTGTCACTACAATGATATTCCGACCGGACTGCGTTACCTCCTCTTTCACCAAGTCTAAAACACGGTGTAGGGGGTCAAAGGCCTCCTCCGTGTCGAAGGTCATACGTGAAAGTGCGGATGAGATGGCGGTATCGCCAGCCGATTGTTGGCTGTATCGGTTCCAAGCGATGTTATCAGCCGTGTCGGAGGCAAGCCGCGTTACTGTGTTCTGGATATCGTACACCGTGTCGGCAGCAGCCATGGTCTAAGACAATCATGTAGTTGGGATATGTATCACCAGAGAAACAAATGGAGGATACCCACGTAGTGTAAACTTGGGAGGACATCCTCCGCCTTCTTATCCTCCTCATCAGCGGTACTCGTATGTGTCAACGCATTGTCGGTCTTCACCACACGTACCACAATCGCCTTTACATCAGGATTAACGCAAAGTTGCACGAGGAAGGAAAGCGCCAGCCGGTCATCGGGACCTCCAAAGAACGGCAAAAAGGACTGCTGCGTGGCAGCGTTGAGATTGGGGCCGCAGTCAATGAATAACTCCACGTCGCTTGGACAGCCCATGAATACGCGGCGGATGAACTCTGAGTATACAACCGAGCTTGACGAATATTTGTGAAATATGCCGTCAAAGGGGTTGCGCGCGCCGCCTGCGACTTCGTCCGTATTGGATCCTCGCGACCATGGCAGGATGACCATCTCTGTCTCCGACTCGGACACATGCGTCGAAATCGCAGTCGCGAACTCGTCGTGCGGGACGATTGAAAGCGCAGCTGAAATGAGCAGCTTGTTCAGCTGTCCGAATGTCCGGAAAACGGAGAGGACAGAGTCGCTCTGTAACAGTGAAGAAGACTCCGTTGATTTGAGGACCGCAGAGGTCCTAGTGGTGAGCTCGATGAGACGAAGTGCATCGACGGTGATGTTAGAGACAACGGATCCTGAAGCGAAAGGATGCAACAGCGAAGCCAGCGTCATCGCTGCAGGAAGCTGCTCTGTTTTGTTTAGCACTACGGCAAACCGAGTCTTGAATGCATTTTCGGGGGACAAAGGGCGAGTGCCCCGGGCCTCGGTATCTGTGCGAGGCGATGCGCCTTTCACGATAGCACCACCAGTGTGTACACGGTACTTTGATGGGTAAAACATGAGCGTGAGAGGGGTCGTTATGAACGTTAAGATGATGGCGTGCACAACGAACATCGAGAAGACGCGCGTGTCTAAGATGCCCGCTTGAAGACCAACGTTCAACACGATCAGCTCCACCAAACTGTAAATGTATCGGTAACTCATCAATGGTCGAGAAAGTCTCGTACCCTTTGCAACTCATGAGAGACCCAATGGCGCCAGACTCACGCCAGTTGAAACCTGTCCCAAAGGCCGCCGCCCCACACGCGAAGAACTTGGCGGAGAAAGCAACAACACAGATGAGGATGGTGTACCCCCAGGTGATACCATTATCAAGCAAGCCAAGATTAGTCCTCAGTCCTGAGAGGGTAAAGTACTATGCAGATATGAGACCGTCATGAAGACTAGTAGACAGCCTGAGACATACCAATGGCAGAAAGAGGATGGACACAAGGTCTTCAATCTTTTCCACTAAAGAGATGGCGAATCCGTTCTCGTGAGGAATGACAAGACCCGCCAAGAAACCGCCTATCGCAGCGAACTCAGACAGCGGATAGAGAAATCTCAAAGAATGGCGTACCAAAGATGGCATGGACTCCGATTATATCCGTAAAGAACGCCGAAATGAAGACAATCAGCAAAGTGACGGTCATCATCAGAGCGGTAGGCGATCCCTGTTCCAGACTGCCCGTACGGCGGCAGAGCCAAAGATACCCCCACTTGACAGGGAATAACAGGAATATCACATATCCCACGCTAGTGAGAAGGACATATAACGCCACAAGACCTGTCGATGCATTTACGAGGGCAACAGTCAGCGCAAGCAATACCCAGCCTACGACATCGTTCCCAACGACCGCAGACAGAACCACGACACCGACGGTGGTATCCAAGAGTTTAAGCTCGGTCAAGATGCGGCACAGGACCGGGAACGCCGTGATCCCGACTGCAACAGCTACGAAGAGGACAAAATAGCCAAAGTTGACGGCAGGGTTGATGAATTCGCGGTATACACCCACTCCCAAGGCGGCTCCCAGGCCAAGAGGGACAAGCAGTCCTGCGACCGAAACCGCAGTCGCCGCCTTGATGTTCCTTTTCATAAGACGTGTGTCGATTTCGAGGCCGACAAGAAAAAGGAACAAGACGAGCCCGATGGTCGCAGTGAGGTTTAGCAGCGGCATAGCAGCATCTACGACATGAATACGGCGCCGTTCGATGTATGTTATGGCATACCTGGGAAGATAGATTCTTTGAAGTTGGGGATGCGACCCATAACAGTTGGGCCTAGAAGGACACCACCGATTACTTCTGCTATAACGCGCGGCTGGCGAATTCTGCCAAAAATGAGGGCAAGAAACTGGGTCATAGCAATGATGATAACTACGGCCAAGGACTCTAGTAAGAAACACGACGCGTTTGTCATACAAAAGCCTACGTACCAACTTGAATAACCCATAGGCGGATAGGATCCGATGTGTTGTACTCCGTTGGGTTGTCGCCGCTGAAGACGCCTCCCTACAAGACTCGGTGAATACTGGTGGAATACTGGATCAGCGAGTATTGTAACCTGTGAAGCCGCAGCTCTTCGGACGAGGCCGTTGACGAACTCTCCGCTGTTCATGCGACGCGAAAAAGTACCCATTTCACGGGAGTGATGATGGGGGAGCAAGGACAAGCCTGGGACAAGCAACAAATCAATCAGCCACAGCCACAGGAGACATGTCGATCCTGAACATATACAACACTTGGCTTGGCTTCGCTACGCCCCGATTAACTGGCACTAGGAGTGTTGTCTTCGCTTCGCTCCGTTCCGGCAGGACTTTTTTATTGTGTCGAGAAGTTCAAGTGCTTAGAGGTGCGAAGACACATTCAACTTAGAATTACAGTAAGTACTGTGCCCTACTTTAACAAATAGCAATATGTAGACCCCGGGACAAAAAGAATCTGGAAAACATTCAGCGAGTTCTAGTCCAAGAAGAATCCTATCATACCTGGGACAAGCCTTCGAAACTTACTGACCTCCACCCTCTCAACTGGACAGAGCCGGAGAAGTGATATGCCGCCTATAACGAATGTCGATAAGCGAAGCAGCATACCTAATATGGCGGTTGAGAAATGAGCGAGTCATACAACGAGGAGGAGAATCGGCATTGCGACCGCGTTTCATACACGTGATGAGCGAGACTCAACCGCGGGACGACCAAACAAAGAGAGATAAACCGATTGATGTGAGTGAAAGTGGTGCGGGGAAAATGTGGTAGATGTGCCGTCAGTAAACCAACGCGTCCACCAGTGGACGGGGGGCGTTCGGGCCGTGAATGACGTTGGTCCTCTAGTAAGACATGTCGGGTCGGCGAAACATCAACTGTCGAGGTAGGTAAAAGTCAACCCAGGCAGCTTTGTACTGCGCGTGAAAGACGCGTGTCGTGGACAGCACAGTTGCAGGCAGCGGTGGAGAGAGGAGCCACGGGCCATTTCGAGCAGTGAAAGGAAGGATGTAGAGAGAAAACAGCGTTTTAAGGGACGATGATAACAAACAGAGGACAACGAAATGGTGTGGCTTCTTTAATATATGTGTAATATGTTTGCGGAGCGTCTTCGCATACCCTATGAGCTCTGGAGGGGAAGGGGGGTGGCAACTTTGACTGCTCGAACTTAACTGCTCGAAAAAGTAGTCTCAATTGACCGGTCAAAGCTCGTTTCAATGACGAAAAATTTAGGGCATTGTCACGGAAGGCAGAGCCGATATCTATTCCGCCGTTTCCACTTGTCGTGCCGGGCTTGCACATCTCGCCTGACGCGTACAATTGGATGGAGAGAAAATGATTCCACGAGTAATGATACATACATAACATTAATACGTTAGTTGACTTGGTATACAGAGAGCTTATTCGACTTTGAGCGGCGTCGTGCGGAGGTATGGCTAAGGAAAAGCCTTGTCAGACAGCGCTAAGCACGCAGAAATAGAAATGGCATACGTAGTGAACCTTGTGGTCGGGGAAGAGAGTCTTCGCCTCCTCGGGCTTGACGCTAGCATGGATGATGACATCCTCGCCTTGCTTCCAGTTAACGGGGGTGGCAATGCGATGCTTGTCACCGAGCTGGATGGAGTCGATTACACGGATGATTTCGTCAAAGTTTCGTCCTGCGACAGCGGGGTACGAGATGGTCAATCGGATAACCTTCTTCGGGTCGATGATGAAGACGGTACGAATCTAAACAACCGTGAGCGCTATAATAACTTGGAATTAGAAGACACGTACGGTGAAAGGAAGGCCCTTGTTGTCGCGGTTGGTCACATCCTGGTAGTCCAACATGTCATAGAGATACGAAACTTTGCGGTCGGCATCCGCAATCTGACATAGAGTAAGTGACTGGAA